TCTTCATCATTTATCATAATTATTACCATGTTATTATAGCCATTTACTGAGTGTGCAGTATGAGCCAGAAGACATGTTAAATTCTTTACCCACATTATCTAATCTTCAACAAACCTATAAGGTGGATACTTTCATTATCCTGATTTAATAGCTTGCCATTTTTCCATCAAACTCAGTTATTTGCTCATAACACTACAATGTGTAATTATTTTATAATTATTTATTAGTATTTTAATATCTGTCTATTGGATTAGAGTATAAGTTCTACAAGAGCAAGAATGAGGTCTCTGACTCACCCTAATATCCTCAACTTCTACAATACTGCCTGAAACATAGAAAATGTTCAGTGAATGTATGCTAAATATGAAAGGAAGACTGGAAGGCAGGCAGGCAAGTGGAGAAGAAAGAAAGTGAATGAGCACATTATAGTTGCTAAGTAGTAGAGTTAGACTCTAGTCCAGAGCCATCTGACTCCCAAACCAATGCTCTTGATGATTAGACGATATTTCTTCCTGTGGTTAATAGGCTTTCAATAGATGTTTGTTGATTAAAAAAACACCTTCTGGGTTCAAGTGATTCTTGTGCCTCAGCCTCCTGAGTGATTCTCCTCAACTTTGCACAATAATGTATAACAAAATTACAGTAAGCATAAAAAACAGTGGATATACACCGAGACATAAGAGAATTGTAGGAGAGTAAATCGTCAGAGAAGGAGAGTTTCTGTCTTAATGAAAATGAATACAGTTAAAGAGACGGCACCGATATACTGTTGTCCTTGTTTCAAAGGAAATAATGTGTGTGTATGTGTGTATGTGTGTGTGTGTGTAGTCTTCAAAATCAAGTAACTTTAACAGTGATTGACAAGTTAGTGATGCATAAACAATACAGATGGCAGAGATTTGATAATTATAGAACAATACCAAGTTGAAGTAGATGATCACTTCTAAACCTTTTCTTCTTTTTGGTGCTAATGAGCTTATTCCAAAGCGCCATATTTTCAACCAAATTACATAAAAGGCACTTATTCACAACCAGTCTACAATCTCTGACCTCTTGAGAGCTTGTCACACAGCAGAATAGGAAAACCAGCATAGCAGAACATGTTCTTCAGACTTTGGGTAGGTATTCTGAAGACCACTTGACAACCAGTAGCACTCACCTTCTGAATATGCTTGGCTGCTGCCAGTGATTGTAGATTTCAAGGGAAAATTACTAGATGTCCATTTCTAGTCTGGAAAGTGGATCAGGCCAGAACTTAACTTTTCCACCACTAAGTGATAATTCTAAACAGATGCTTAGCACAACATGTTTTGTTACTGTGGACCTTGAATCCAGATTGCTGCCAGAGGTAATCATCTGGGATTTTCATTTGAAAACAAAATTTCACAAGCTTTTATGTATGATTATGCTGATATGGGAAAAAGATTATAGCTAATGAGATCAAACTGAGTTATTAGTTGGGCATATTTATCCCTGGTTGTAACTAAGTAAATTTCTACAAGTATTCAGTTGTCCTAGAGAAAGAATTGGCTTAGCAATGTGCCATCTCTTCAAGACAATTTGTCATTCTGAAAAGGTATACAAATAATCAATGAGTGTCATTGTATAGATTGCTTATTATTCCCCAGATCAATGTAAATTCATTTTCTTTATTAACTTAAATATTTCTTGAATACCTACTTTATACTAGACACTAAACTAAGAAATAAGGAAAGAAAATGCCTAAAATCCAGTCCCTGACCTAAAAGAGGCATGCAGGCCAGCAGAAGGGAGGCATGTACACAATAACAATAATCCAAGGCAGTCAATGGTAAACGCTCAGTCCTTCTTGTTTCTTGGAATGCTCATTTTACCCCAATCTTCTATTCACTACCTGGAAGAAAATCCTGTCCCTCCTTAAAGACTCATTTCAAATGATTCTTTCCCAGTAAAGGCTTCCCTGGCATTCCTTCTCCACCCCATAACCAGAAACACATATACCCAATCCCATTCCAGCAGCTTTCATTACTCCTCTGTGTTCCCATAGCACTCTAGTCATGGTTTTATTACAGTACTTATTATAATAATTTATATTGGATTGTTTATATGTCTATATTTTGAATTCTTCCAGAGTGTAAATGAGTTTTGTTCATCTCTGTATTCCTAGTTACTAGCAAAATAACATTGCATATAGTAAGACTCAAAAAAGTTTAGTTTGCAGGGAAGGAGTGAGAGAATGAGAAAACATGTGAAAATCAAATTCTAGATAAAATGTTATGAGAACACCTCAGAAGAAGTAATTAATTCCGATTAGGTGGTTTTGTTATAGGACATTTTCCTTAGTTCAGCCAAGAGCCAGGTTCTTGTCATACGACCATGAGAGATTAGGCTTGCAGATACTTTGAGGGGTGAGAAAAAATGGAATTTATTGGGTAAAAAAGGGAAACAGGGACCCTCTGCAAAGCCTGCTGGGGTGCTTCCTGCCTCACAGATTGAATCCCAGCTTCCACTCAGGAAGAGGAGGGACCAGGCTCCTTACTGCTGCAAACACATGAACTTCCAAGGCCCCACCTCAGTGTGCAGGTCAGTGGGAGGTTCTGCCAGACAGCCCTTCCCAATGTGGCCATGTCAGTTTCATAAACAAGGTAGCATTTGAGGTGACCCTTCAAAAATGAGTGAGATTTTGACAGGTGGAGACGGGTGTTAGGGTAGGGAAGGAAGATAAGAAGGACATTTAAAGCAGAACTTCTTAAGAATTTAAAAACCACATTCATTAAGGCAAAATAATGCTGTTAATTGCACATGTTCCTTATCTGCTCCTGTAAACAAGCTTAGCAGGAACTCTACTTGCTACCATTTTAGCAAGCACTGTGAATTACCATACGTTTTGAAAATAGCAATGCTGTGTTTTCCTTCAAAATAATTTAGATCATTGTCTTCCCCCAAACACTTATCCCGCCCCAAATTAGTCTAGAGTTTGGCTAGGTTGGTACATTATAAATTCTCATTCTTTGACTTCAAAATCCTTTACTGAGAAGTGTTCCTGTTTGTTTGTTTGTTTTAATATTTCTCAGGACTGCAGAACCAATGAGTAGCCAAACTGTTGCAAGAAATTATTTTTGGCATTGGGTCCCAGTCCTTCTAAACCTACCTATTTCTTCTAGGAGTGATTCTTCAGCAACCAGAGAAAATCAGGGTGTAGATTCCATAATATCTAAAGATATCTTTCAGCTATAACAGTCTCTAAAATCTTATCTCCCCTAGCTGGGGGATTGGAAGTCCAAGTAGACTAATTATCACTAAGTAAATTCAAAACCCAAAGGATATTCAGTACCCCATGTTTGTTTTCTTGATAATATTTGCAAGGAGGCTCTTTCTAGCCTTTGGATATGCCTTTGTGAGAGAACACTGAAAGTTGATTATTATGACTAAAATTCTTACAGATGGAGAAATCACTAGCTCTGAAATGTGACTTCTGACTGTAGTTAATGAACACTTAGTGCCATCAATCACTGTGTGTATGTGTAGGGGGGATGAAGGGAGAGGAGGCAAAGGCACTACAGAAGAATGACAAAAGCTAAAATTTCAGAAATCATGTTTTTAGACATTTGTATTTGCTTGTTCTGACCAATCAGTGACCAAAATAGCACATGTATAAATAACCCTGGCAAGGGTCATCTCTGATGTTACCTTGGACTTTAGCAAGCTACTATTAGAACAGAGTTGCCTTCATGGGTTGTAATTGGCTGAAGTAGGTACTTGGAGGTAGGAAAAAAGCCATAGAAAGATTTTTTCTATGGCTATCAGTAGTCAGAGGAAAATTTCTCAAAATGAAAGTTTGTTTGTGCTCAGATGACTCATGAATATATCTTTCCCGACACTGTGTACATGCACATGCTTATAAAACCTGTTTCAATGTCTTTGTTTATATCATTCCTGCTCCTGGGATGTCTGACCCTTCTCCTCTACTAATAACTGCTAATCACTCATAACATGCTCTATATAAATCTGGTCCATTCTTTTAAGTCCTATTTTCTCCATGAAGTATTTCCTGCTTACTCAGGTCGCAGTAGCTCTGCATACTATAAACTTCAGTAATATTTCTGTTTTAAATCATTGAGTCTTTCGTTGTTTCCTAGTTGTTTAACTGGAGATAGTAAAGCATAGTGGCTAAAAATTATACATTCTGTATGACCTTGGACAATATATTTGACCTTTCAAAACTTCCCTTAAATGTCTCTAAAACTTCTATTAAATGATGATATAAATAGTCCGTACCTTACAGGTTTGTTCTAAAAGTTAAATGAGAATGACACATCCTAAGTGATTTACGTGGCATACAGTCAGTGTTCAGTAGAGGTAGTAATGGGTGGAGGTGGTGATAATGGTAATAATTATCACCATCATCAGCAGTCTCTTCAATGTGATTGTACAACCTTTGAGAGCAGGAACCATGTCTCTGGTCTGCTTTTTTTCATTGTTCCCCTAACCCCCAGAATTGTCATTCAGCTAATTTGATGTGTGCTGATTGTGTGTCCAGCTCTATTCAATAGTACTGCCTCAAAGACATGAAATTTTATCAGGAGTATAATTTTCATCTTTTATTGCCAACTACAGAAGCCCTAGGATGTTTTTTCTTGCTTTATATGCATGAGTAGTTTGGATGGAAGCTGCTGAAGTAATCATATGCTAGTAGATTATGAGAAGAATAGGAAACTTCTTACTCATTCCAAGCTCCTGTGTTGTGTATGCTTGGAAAAAAAAAGGCGGAGGGGGAAGAAAGGGAGAGAAGAAAGGAAACACTTATACTAAAATGCCATCTGGTAAATTGCTTTCAAATTCCTTGACTTCCTGCCACTTCAAGCTGTATTGTTTTAACCCTTGTAAGAAACCTGGCATTGAGGCCTTATCCACCACTTGTCCATCCGGCCAGTTCTCTAAAAAGTTTGCCAGAATTTATGTTTATAAGTAAACTAGATGCTAGAACCTTAACACAAATTTTGCTTGTCATTTCTTTTCAGCTGATAACAGTAGAACTCTGAATGTGGATTCCACTGCAATGACACTACCTATGTCAGATCCAACTGCATGGGCCACAGCAATGAATAATCTTGGAATGGCACCACTGGGAATTGCTGGACAACCAATTTTACCTGGTATGTTATTTTTAGTCACCTCACAAGTGCTTATTTTTATTGACCATGTGGTAATAAATATAGCAGTATGACACAACTTATTTTGAAGTTGACATTTACCAGATTCTGCCTAGAGTGTGCATTTTTGTAATATGAGCTTTATAGTCTGGGTGGCCGGTAGTTACTAGTATATTCCCTTTTGCACTTTGGACATGCTGGAGGTATAGCCAATGCAGGCTAGGGTCATTGAAGCTTTAAACAGCTCACTGAAATACAAGGCGACAGGATTTTGGCAAGGAATTACAAAGCTTGTGTAATTTTATAGATTTTATAGAAGAGGCAAATAAACATGGAGACGAAAAGAGAACTCACTTAGATATCTCCAAAATCTTAGATTCCTAGAGTAGAGGAAAGGAGATGGTGGAGGACAGCCCAGAGACTGTTTTTAACATTGAAGAACTGTGTGTAAACACACACACACGTGTATGTGTGTGTATATATATATATATATATATATATATATATATATATACACACACACACACATACACAAAGTAACCATTATAGAATGGACATGGTGGACTAACTCCGTCTCCACTAGAGATAAAATGAGAAGCAAAACATCACAACACCTGAAGGGTTTTGTTTAGACACAAAAAAGCTTCCTGGACAGTGGGAGCTAATTAATCCTTTCAATGAATTTTTGAAGACATTTTGGAATTGCCATCTCAGAGAGCCTGAGGCAGCTTTTTAAACAATCTAAACATTAATCTCCCCAGATTCATTTAATTGTGACTCTACTTAAAAGCACAACAGGACCGGGCCAATCTAGAACCTTCCTACTCAAAGTGTGCCCTGCATAACCTGGGAACCACTTAGAATCCCAGAATCTCGGGCCCCAGCACAGACCTGCTGAATCAGAAGCTGCATTTTCGCAAGATCCCCAGGTGTTTTGCAAGCACATTAAAGTTAGAAATAGATTTAGAGTAATGCCGTTTTGTTGTGCCACTTATTTATATAGTTAGCTACCACCCCCACCAAAACATTATTTCACAATTCTAGCCCAGATTTTAAATCCTTATAATGAGGGTGAGGTACGCTGGACAGCAACACTAATAGTGAATTTAAAAATGTTATTGCATCACAAGCCAGGAAACAAGCATAAAAGCAACTAAGCATGAAGATAAAAAGGTACGTGAATAATAAATGGGTGGAGGGGAAAAAAGAAGTCTAAATTCTATATGTGGCAGGCGCAAAGAACTCTGTCAAACTGTAATTCATATCATGGATTGTAGTTCACCAGACTGTATTCTTCTCCATTAGACCAACCACAATCGAAATGAACAACCAGGGATCCTTTGAGAGCTAGAATGATTGGACCATGGATCGCCTTAGCTTTTGAATGACTAGTGGGGCCAATCTGGGATCAGTGGATGTTACTGTAGGAATCAGTATTGCAGAGTGGTTAAGACGTCAGGTTCTGGATTCAGTCTGCTTGACTTCCAAGCCTGTTTCTTTCACGATTTGATCTCAAGCAGTTGTGTAGCTTCTGAGACTCAGTGCCCTCATCCACAAAATCAGACTAATAGTACCTAACTCCTAGGATTGTTATGACAATTAAATCATGCTTACCACAATGTCTGGCAATAGAAAGAGCTCAAAAATGGCAGCTTATTAATATATTTATCATAGACATTTCTAAAAAAGTAATAAGTTTTTTTATTTAGTACCTCTTTATTATTTGATTATAATAGAATTTAAACTAAAATATATATTATTTTATAGCTCCATGTGGTGTGGCCCCAAGTCACAACACTTAAAGTCTAAGATAAGTAGACAATCTAATTTGACTTAAATATTCCCAGTTTTTGACAGTCTGGACCATATTTATAAATGTCCCAGGAAAAATATTGAGGCCACATGTGCTCTAAAGCCCAGGAGACTCAATGTAAACTAATAGCATATGATTTGTAAATGATCATATATAAGCATAATTCTAAGTTCACAAAGTAATCTTCAATACTTAGCCACCCATCTGTAACATGGAAAAAGAAAGGCCTAGCATTGAGAACAAAAATGCCACCAAGCAATCATTACAGACCCAAAGCTTGAGCTGGGGTCAATTATAAGGCTAGATGATTAGGGTAAGTTTTCTTAACAGTGTGGTAGAGGGCTATTTCTTCAGAGACAGTGTCTTGCTTAGTACTTAACAACACAGGCCTTGAAGTCAGAGGACTACCTGGATTTGAGTACTTGCTCTGCCATTTATTGTGTTACCTCAAGCAAGTTACTTGACCTCTCTGTTCCTCAGTTTTCTCATCTGTGAAATAGAGATAATGATAGTGTCCTAGCTCATAGGATTGCTGTGGACATTAAATAATATACTTAGCACACTGCTTACCATATAATAAGCACCCAATAAAGATAAACTGTCGTCATTATTACTACTCTTAGCAGTACTATATGCTCTTTGATGTAAAGGAAGTACTAACATACGTTCTTCAAATCACTGCAAAGCTCCCCCTTAAATTGAAAGTATCTGGACGCTATGCAGCCACTGTCAATGCTAATGAGAGTTCTGCACATCCAGCTTCAGCCAGACATTTGAAACCTCAAGAGTATTTTTAACTTCTACCTTTGTCCCCCTTCTTCACATCTTGTTTTCTTAAGGACCGTAAAGAAATGGTTTCTCTTTGACCTGTAATTCAGTGAAACTGACTGCCACCATGCTCCAGGGAAAGTTACTTGACTCTTTGGAAACCTGGTCTCAGAAATGCTGGTATTAGTTGAGTAGTTCCCTTCTTGTCTTAAAATGCATGGGGCAATAACATGAGGCCAAGATATACTTTGTAAAGCTATGTATAAAATCACTTAAGTAATGTGTGAACTGGTTTTTCTCATCTTTGTATTATTTTAGGAAGGTAGTTTACTGTTGAGATTTGAACATGGGTTCTAAACCCAGACTGCCTATGGTCAAAGCTCTGTCTGTCATTAACTAGCTGTGTGACCTTTGGCAAGTTACTTCACCTCTCTATGCCTCAGTTTATTCATCTGTAAAATGCAGATAATAATGGCACCTATGTTATAGAGATGTTATGAGGATTCATGCATTAATACATGTAAAGTCTTAGAATGATGCCTGGCTCACTGTAATTCCTCAATTAAGTCAGCTATTATTATTATTGTTGTAAGTTCATATATGTGATATGGCTCACAAAAAGTTGAATGATGACTCATCTTTACCCTAACAACACTGAAGGATAGTGAATGCAACAGTGAATTTTTTCCCTGGTGAAACACTGGACAGTGACAGGTGAAGAGAGCAGTATATATCTGACAGTGCTAATGCCTGCTCCTTATAAATCTGGTGGGGATTTTCACTGAAATGGAAGGTTGGCATGACACTCCAATGCTGCCTACCTTTCTTCTTGCCAAGGTCTGGAGGACAGAGTGCTTGCCATCTTTAATGATGTTATATTTTAACCAATGGGTTAAAATATCTCCTTAAAGGCCAGGAACGGTAGCTCATACCTGTAATCCCAGCACTTTGGGAGGCCAAGGCGGGCAGATCACAAGGTCAAGAGTTCGAGACCTGCCTGGCCAACATAGTGAAACCCTGTCTCTTCTAAAAATACAAAAAATTAGCCTGGTGTAGTGGTGTGTGCCTGTAATCCCAGCCACTCAGGAGGCTGAGGCAGGAGAATCTCTTCAACCCGGGAGGCGGAGGTTACAGTGAGCCATGATTGTGCCATTGCACTCCAGCCTGTAAAGAAAGCAAGACTCCATCTCAAAAATAATAATAATAATAAACCACGTTTCCCTAATCAGCTCCCCATGCCCTAAAATTTCTTAAAATGGAAAAGGTGGCAAATAAGCTTCATGGAACTGTTGCCTGAAGTCACCCATCAAAGGCTCAGTAATTCAGCTACTTTTATGCCCCTCAGGAGGTTTCCTACTGAGCCAGCAGACTTTTCTTTGTCCTGTCTCATCTGGCCTGTCTGTGACAATAGAAAAGTCTTTTGACATTGATGAAAAACAAGTGATATGTAAGCTTCCTTCACTTTCCCCCAGAGACCTCTAATCTATACTGTTATGGATGTTGAGTCTCTTGGACATATACTTGTCAGGAAGGCAATGTCTGGCATAATTATTATATTCCTTGAGTAGGGAGTAGAGACAGGCTATGTATGAAGTTTGTTGTGGAGTTCCCTTTCAAGTAACATGGTAGTTTGTACAGCTGTGGTTCAATAAAGTTAATCCATAATGATGGCAGATCAGGAGGTCCCCTCTGGCTGGCAGCTGTCTTTCCCGCAAGAGTATTTGCTGTGAGAAGCTGGTCAATAAGACTAATGTTAGTGGAACCCAAAAGAGTCAGGCCTTCTGGTTAAAGAATATTGTTCTGCCCCAGTCATTCCAGACGAATCCAAGGATGGACCCATTAAGAGATACTTGTTGAATACTGCCTGCTGTTTCCTTTATTTTCACCTCAATTAAAATATCCATAGAAGCCAAGTGTGGAGCCTGTGAAGTCCAAAAAGAGAAGAGTCTCTCATTATGATGTCTCTGCTGTGTTGACTGTGTCTCAATAATGAGAGATATTTGAAAATATAGACTCATGGACCTTATTCCCAGAGCAAAGCCCTACTCATTCTTAAGGAGGCAGTTCTCACTGGACCCAACAGGCCAAGTCTGATGGGAACAGAAAGAAAGAAGGAGTTTGTATGACACATGGCAGACTACTGTTCTGCAAGCTCCTCAGGAAGTCCTGGCCTTCGGTTTGTATTATTTTTAATATCTTCCACAAATAGAGTATGCTTTTAGTGGCAAAAAAGTTGAGATACTGAGAAAGGAGAGCACTGTTCATCATCCAAGAGCCAACAATATGTAAACATTATATATACCAGATAAAATTAATGTCTCTCCAAAACAAACTTGAATTCTACCTATGGATGGTACTCTCAAGATTCACCATGGAGCATGTCCACACCTCGAGATATCCATTTAAGCCTCCACCATGCCAT